ATAGTACAGATGTCTAAATTAGAGAGTATTAACAAGGTGAATTTGAGTCAGCTGAAAGTCATGGAATGAAATAGAGGAACTTTATTGTGAAACTTTTCCTACAGCTGCAAATGGTTTAAGTAGCATATGACATCCTGCTCTGGAGGTTGCAAAAAGCTTTTAAACACAATTGGAAATGCAGTTATGTATGGCTACCAGTGTCTAAAGAACTGCATAGCTGCTTTTAGCGTTTAGTGCTACTGGGCTGCTGAAGAGCTTGGAAGCTTCTCTGTGTGCTCTTTAGCAGACAAGAGTGTCCTGTGTCTGCTTCCTGAGGTGTGCATTTTAACCCCTAAAATTGTCTTCCTTCTCCAGGTTTACTCTAAATAGTGAAAGGTGGTGTTTTCTGGTACAGAATGCCTAGCCATACTTGATGACTGAAAGTATTTAGCCTTACTAAAGGAAGAAGACAAACAGAAACTCAATCTAAGGTAGTTGTATTTTTTTGAGTCCCCTGTTCAGAGAAATTCTGCTTTGGTGGGTTGTTGTGGGTATAAATTTTAGGTAGTTTGTATGTTTCATTCAAGATTCAGTGGTCTTCAGGGATGTAATATTCAGTGGTCCTCAAGTCAGTCTGCCCATGTAATTAACAACAGGATAAAGTTGTGTATTATACAATGTATACCTATGTATACCTATGTAACTGAACATCATTAAGTAGGCTTTACTAGTCTTTGTAAAAGTCTTTCAGTTAGACAAGCACACTGTTACTACTGTCTTTACTTTAGAAGTAAAGCTGTTTGTGATGGTCTTTGGAAGACATGCAAGTAGGATTTCCTTAACTCTAGCAACTTTGCTGTGTTCTTTAGTTCTGGCACATTTGTCTCATGAGCAGGGAATAAGAGTGTTTTTGCTGAATTGAGGCCTTAACAATTGTAGCTCTCCTTACTACAGGTGTGGCACATGAGAAAAGCTCTGCTTGAGTCCAAGAGAGCAGCATTGGATTTTGGAAGCTAGCATCTTTTCTAGAATACTCTTTTTCATTGAAAATTGATGTGGCTATGCTACAGGCTGTCAGGGCTAGACTTTAGCCATCCTGCTTTTGGGCAAAAATGTAATGCTTATTCCTAATTATTTGAGAGCATTTGGATGTTGACAGTTTTTCAGTATAAGGAGCAGCATTTGTTCATCTCATAATGAAAAGAGGAGTTAGGTAAGAGAACACCTGAATCTTAATGGGTTCTGGGACAACCTTCATTTAGAAATGCTGCTGAGAAATGTGCTGTGGTGTTTGGAATTGCCATGCAGAAGTCTTATTGAGAGAAAACAAACAATAGATGTTAAAACATCTGTCAGATACCACACTCTTAACAGGAGTGAAGATTAACATGCAGCACTACTGGTGTAGGTGCACACACCACACAGAGTTAAACATACGAACAGCAGGCTCACACTGTGCTTACTACAGATGTCTGAATGAGTGAGTGCCTGTGGGCTGGAGCTGCATGTCTTGTGGCTTTCACTCTGCTCCATTGGGAAGTCTTCACTCCTTTTGTTTTTATCCTTTTCCAACTCCAGTATTTTCGAGCACACAGCTCCCATCCCCTGACCTGACAGCTTCATTGAAGTGCATTCCAGCCCCATGATTTCACGGTACCAGGCAGAACTCCCCTGCCACGCTGCTATGCTGCCCGCTGCTTCTCACAGAGTGAACAAACAGGGAACATAAACTCTCTCCAAAGGAGCAATGTTCTCTGTATATTTTTAGTGCTAGAAATCCAAGATTCATTTAAGGGTGTTTTGTGGGGGGTTTTTTAACATAGACTTCTGCTAATACAATGGAATATTTCATACCACCCTATTTGCTGTCACTTCTCATGCTTTGTGGTGTTAAATGGAATCAAAGGAGTTAAAGATGAAAGACTTCTGGTCAACTGGTCCTTCCACTGGGAACTGGCGTGGGTTTGTTCTTTGTAACGTATTTGCTTGCGCTTTATCCAGACCCAGCCTAGCTCAGTTTTCACTATTGGGTTTACTTGTTTCTGCAAAGTCCTTACTTTAGGTTAGGTAATTGCTGAGGTTAGACTCAGTGTAGTACTTCTACTGTTTGTTTCTGATGTTTAACTTGATATTTATTGCCCATATACTGAACAAACCTTCTGTAAGTAGTTGTTTACCATTTACATACAAGCACAATTAAACATGCCATGCTTGCTTTCACAGGTATACTTTTTACTGGATAGGCAGAGAACTTTGTTCTCTCTTTATATGAAACTGTCTATTTTATGTTGTACTTGGATGTTTTCTTTCCAGCGTTCAATGTGTCACCACATGCCAACTTATGTAGTACTACAATAAACCTATGTTTAATTAGCTCACTGTTATCCTTCAAATATTTAGGGTTAGTACAGAATTTGAATGTGTATTTTATGTTAAGACATTGATGTCTTATATTTTTTGGTGAACGGCTTTCCCAAACCGTGTTTTAATGTTGCTATTGCATATGTGCCATCTATTTGAGTATATTAAACACATACAACTGGAAGAAGAAAAGAAGACAGGAACACAGGAGGGATTAAACTATCTGATAAGAAGAGGAAGAGTAGGGCTGTAAGAAGCTATAGCCTGTGTAAAATAGTGTGGTTAAACAGGGAGATAAATGGGCACTGGAAAGCAGGAAGCACTGTGGGGAGAAATAATTGTGGGAAGGAACATCAGGATTTGAACTGAGTGAGGGGAGACTGGGAGATGAGAAGAGGGAAATGTGCTCTGACAAACAGCCACGTGTTGTTGGATCTCTGTAGGGGCAGAACACCATCTTAGTGATCGTCTGTTTATAGCCTGTTTTTTCTTATTGAGCTGTTACTCTCTAGGTGAAAAGCAGGAACATGAGAAGCAAAGGACAAATGTTATGCCTGTGAAATACCTATTGCATTGCCTAGCAACTGCTCTATGCCCTTAATAAGAGAAGCACAGCTCTGAAGCCTAGTGAATCCCAAGTTTCTACACTACTTCATTTCATTTATGTATGTTGGGATTCTGTATGCCTCCTCCTCTAGGTGAGCGCCTGGCCCTTCTCTGTTAACAAAAAGCTGGCCACAGTCCTTGGGCCACAGAGTAGCTTAGTGGGAGGTGAGGGGCTTCTGTGAATGGTGATGAATGCTCTGATATAGGTTCCTAGGAAAACAAGATATCAAATGGCAAGCAAGGAATTGAGTAGTATAATTCCATGTTTGTGGAATGGAGAAAAGAGGCATGGGTGGTCAAGAACTGGAAGTTAGAATTGCTGTTGGAGGAAATGGTGTGCCTTTCATTGCAGTGACTACCTACCCAGCTCCTGTGCTGGAGGTTCTCCAAGAGCACTTAGAAACTGACTCAAGAATATACCTAGAATTCAGGCAGATATTTGGGATGGGGTGAGTGGGTTACTACCTGGACTTAAACGTGTAGGTATTTATGTAAGAATTAGAATGGCTGCTAGCCCAAAACTGCTCTTACCTGTCAACACAAACACCTAACCACTGGATAAGAAAATTGTCTTGGTCAGAAAAACAAACTTACTTTGAAAGCAAGGAGAATTTTTCAGCAAATTTTGAAGAAAATAGCTTTTCTGAACTGTGGATCATAGTAAAACAAAAAAAGTCATCCTATTCCATTTGGAAACAATTTCTCATTAAATTTTCTTGAGTCTAAGTCAAAATTAATTAAGTCAATTTGAAGTCCTTTTTTAATTGGTAAAAAATAATGGTACTTAGCCTTGAATTCTGCTGCCATTTTGTGTGGTTTCATAGGTGTAGAACTTATTTATTTTCTCCTCCTCGATACATTTGTAAGAGATTCACAGAAATGAAAACCGGCAACACTGTTAAAATAAATTCTCTCTACTTTGTTATTGAAGTTGAAAATTTAGCAGGAAAAAAATCATGCAGTTGGAGGCAAAATGAAGCTGATGTTCCTGCTGCACAACAGAGTCTGAGAGTTTGTACTGTGCAGCTTTGTGACTGGGACTCCCTGCTGAAGATGGTGGGACCCTCATTTATAAGTTGAGCTGTCTTGCATGCTCTTGCAACTTGGCACATAACAAGCATTTTCACTTAAAACATTGCCGAGTTACTTTCTGAATATGGTGGAATTCTTTGGAAAGGTCGGGGAGGTAATTGATCATACTCTGACAGCTTGGGGCTCTGAGAAAATGGTCAGATGGAGGGCTGGGATGCAGGAAAACAAACTTTCCAAGATGGTAACTGTCACTTAGCCAAGCTATACATGTTTTAAGCTTTTTAATCTTTGCTCACAACCTCATCTTTTTAATCATTTTTTGCTGCTTTTCTGTGAATTCATTTCAGATGTTGACATTTTACTTGTAGTGATGCGTCCACAGTATTCCAGGTGTGATCTTCAGCTATAGCAGTATTTCTTTGTAGAGCCCTTTTGCAAGTTCTACTGTTGCCAAGATGTTTCAGGACTTTGATCTTTTTCATTACTCTTTGACCTTTGGGTCAAGGACTAAGTTTCTTTCAGGAACCACTCAAAATGTTCCTTGTAGCTAGAAAAATAAGACTTCGGTGGTTTTGGGAGTTAAGATGGCAATCTACGTGGATATTGCTTGTGTTTGCAACAAAAAAGTTTTAATTTCTCTGCGTTGTGATCCTAAGTTTCTGTATCAGACTGGATAATGTACTAAAGAGAAACATACATCTTTGGCACAAAAAAGGATGAAATTATCTCAGAAACCAAGTAATAGATCTAGTTTTCACTGATCCTGTTTACAGCTATGTTTGTTTGCATATGCAGTCTGACAGCTTAAAATTACGCTAGTTGTCAGTCTCTGCAGTAAGATAGAGTGTTTTAACTGACTTACTGCAATTATTTTTAGTCAATCCTGAGGTAATTTATACATTAATACACTGACAGGAGGAGAGAAGAGACAGGCGTAAGTGAGGCTTTATTAATGATTTTAAAATGTAAAAGCATTTCTAAAAAAATATGCATGTATTAATTTTACCAATGCTTCGTAACAGAATACGGTCGCAGATCGGATTTTCTCTGGTATTCAGCCAACTGGGACGCCTCATCTGGGCAACTACCTTGGAGCCATTGAGAACTGGGTGAATCTGCAGGAAAAGTGCAACTCGGTGCTATACAGCATTATGGACATGCACTCTTTCACCATGCCTAAGGAGCCAGCTGTCCTGCGCCAGAACATACTGGACACCACTGCTGCCATCCTTGCCTGTGGTATTGACCCAAAGAAGTGTTTCCTGTTCCGGCAGTCACTGGTTAGTGCTCCTGTTATGTTGGATTTGTTTCCATACATGTAAATGAATGAGCATAGCATTACTGAACACCTTTATGATCTTGGTGTTGGTGGTCCTAGAAAATGTTAGCAATGTTGGATTTCGAATTTATCCCTTGCTATTGTTTTGAAGTGGCAGAAACCATGATTGAGAAATCCATTTATGGATACGTACATTTTAACTTTCCCAAGCAGAGGTGGGAGTTTGTGTGAGTTATGAATAAAATACTGAAAAGACCTGTTAGGAGAGCATTAATTTAGCTCTGTAAGTTTCACTTTAGTCACAAAAGGTTAACTCATAAATGCATAAACATAGTCTGTGCAACCATAAAGGCAAGTAAAATATGTTTCTTTGGTTTTGTATCAGCACTTACCACTTAATTTGCCAGCTGCACAGTATCTCCAACAGGTGATTGGCGTAATAAGTTTTGTGTCAGTTCCATTGTAATCACCAGGAAGTTCTATCTTATCTGGGATTTTTTTCCCCTTCTTTGCTATAATCTCCTTTTCATATGCACTTTTTTCCATCTGATCTGATAATTCATATGTGAAATATTTGCTTCTTCTCCTGACCACCCCAAGGAGTACAGGGCTTACCTTTGTACTTGGTGTATGTCAGCCTAGTCTATCACATGCTGCATTTTCCTGGAACACAATTTATGCTTCTTGCCTGATTAACTTCCTGTAACTGACTCTAAACTGGAAAACTTCTGTAACTTCTCACAGAGACAGATGTGTCATAGCTTTTTCTCTTGTGAAGACATCTTTAAATGGATGTTTGACTTGCAACAGAACTGGAAAGGTGATGTGCACAGGATCTGAATTTTATCAGTGAGAGGTGAAATCATTCCTCTTTGAACATAGTTCTTTACAGGCAGAGTTTCCTGTGATTGTCAAACTGCAAATTATGATCATAGCTCTGTATCCCAGGTGGATATTGAAATTATGAAGACAGATACAATTCCGGCTTCACTTTTCCTCTATATTAAAAAACTAATCTAAATAGATTAGCTTTGAATTCTAATGGAGATATGTTTAAATAATTTTATCCTTTGTTCAAATCTGTTTATCCTTTTAAATAAGTTACCAGCTTTGGTTTTAATTTGGCTCAACTCTGATTTAATTTCATTCACATTGAGGCTGACATTAACTGGAATAATCTCCAGGTGAGTTACAAGCCAGTGATGCTGTAAAAGCCAGTCTGGAGTTTTGTTTTTTCTTGTTTTCAAGCAACAGAACAATTCAGTTAGTTACAACGCGAGATCAGTGTCTCGAATCGCAGAGTAGACTCTTCAGCTTAAAAGAGAGATAATTTGTAAGTTATGGCTAGAGAGGAATAAAGCAAAGGTTTATAAAACTGCAAGTGAAATAGAGAAATTAAGTAGGGAACAACTTTTTACCCACTGAAGAACATGAACTAACAGGTGTCAAAATAAGTTAGCACCTGGTAGATTCAGCACAAGTAAAACAATGCTGCGTTTCATGGAGTCCATGATTAGGCTGCAGAACTCCTTGGCACAGGTTACAATGCATATTGAAATGTGTATGAATTCAAGAAAGGACTTGACAAATTAATCTGAAAAAATCTGTTGGGGACTGTTGTATACCTGAGGTACCACCTCGGCAGGAAGTGCTGCAGCCACAGTTGGGAGCATATCTGTGCTTTTCTGAACTTAGGCTCTTTTCTGTTGGTTGCTGTCAGAGATGGATATTTGATCTGTTCCAGTTTGCTTTTCTTATGTTCTTACGAGTCTAAAAGCTAAACTACTGCTCTTCCAGGTCTTGCGAAAGCCAGCACGCAGACTTCCCTTGAAGGCAGCAGATTATCAGTGAGGATCTTACATTGTGGTCAGCACAGAAAGCTGCTTGTATCTTTCACGATATAATAAAGCAGAGATGAGTCTTTGAGTCCTCAAAAAGAAAGCATCAGGCTCAGAAAGTGACGGGAGGACAGGACTGTAAGTGGTGCTTCCACAGAACAGATACAGTCGACAACCAATGAAGACTTAATAGGTAGCTAGACTTGAAATGTGTTTAGCTTTATCGAACAAAAGTTTCCACCAAATATGGTTCTTGTTTATGTTATGGTGGTTAGGCTGGCTGTTGTTAAATGGAATGCCTTTTATTGTAATTTTTCTGAGTGTCTTTATCTGCCCAGATCTAATGGTTGCTCTCATTCAATCAAAACCATTTAGTATTTGCTTTCTGTGGGAAGCGTCTGATGTCTTGAACCATATTCTTACAAACTCTTATCACATGTATCAATACAGCTTTCAGAAGTGGCTGATTGTAGCAGATTTTTGTAAGCTCGCTGTCACTGCAAGGAGAAGAAGGACTGTTACAGTTGTTTGTTAATCCAGACTGTTTTGGTAGTGGTTCAGACTGAAGTGGTTTGACTTCCCAAAACTAAGTCTATTCAAGCTGTATGTAGTGGTCAGGTATACCCAGCGATGTGCTATGGTCTGTTACAATTGCATTGGCAGGACCAGACATTTCTCTGGAAGCAATTAAAAGGAGTATCTGCATGTAGCTCTTGATGCAAGAAAAGGAGACAGGAATCTTGCTAATGTGATTATTGTTTTAGCATGATAATGAAATAGTATGCTATGGAATGTCATAATGTTGAGATGATTGTTCCTAAAAACAAAGATGTAAGATATATTGCAGCTATTGCTAATCAAGAAAGTTTATTGCTTGATTTTGGATTAGTAATTGCGCAGTAACTTTTCAGCCACTGTAGCCGTTTCCAAGGGTGGTCTGAAAAGTCACAGTTCTGTTTACAGACATTTGACTGAGGTATAAAGCAAAGTGACCAAAACCAGTTAAATACTGAAATAGGTTGTACTTTCAGAGTTCATCAGGGAAGCATTGAAAATACAGCTGCAAATAGAGAACCGGTTTAGCTATTTGGTTATGGGCAAAGTAGCTTTCTATTTTTCAATGCCAGATCAAACTGATAAATGGGTGAGTTCTGCCTTGAAAAATACCAAATAAGAACTTTTAGTTTTAATCACCAAACCCAGCTAAAACTAATGACTGGAAGCACCCTGATTAAACTCTTGCACTGCAAAAGTATGCCAGTAATGGAAAGCTCCCCTTAAGTGAATTGCTCATGAAGTCGCTATTGTAAGTGCTTCTGTGTCCTCTTACTTCCTCTCGGTTAACCTGGGCAAGAATGGTCTAGAATTGTAGAAGAGGGGGGTTTTTTGTTTATTTGTTTGTTTGGCTTACTCTTTCTGTTCTTTCTGTCGCTGCTGTGTTGCTTCTCTGGAATATGTTTGCCATATGTGAACAAAATATTGATGACTTTCTTCTTGAAAGGCATATGCATTTGGTAATGGTTTTGCTGTCAGTAGGCTTTTATTTACAGCTGGGTTTATGCTGATCAAATCTCTAATCCAGAGCTATCTGAAATACCTGCATCCAGAGTTTTCCCACATTTTATCGTCTTTTCCAATACAAGCAAAAGACAAAACGCTGAACAATGTTGATCACAGATTGACTGCTGGGAAAAAGTATGGTGAGAACAGGTACCTGTTGTATTTATGCTAGATCCAAAAGGTGCTGCTACAATAAGGATACTGGTGAAGTTGTCTTGGAGTCCCATAACTGATTTCGGTTATGTCCTTGCCTTGCAAGTAAAATGAAATAAAAAGGAGAGGAGTTTTGCATAGACTGATTCTTACTGTATCGCTTAGAGGGTGTATGGTCTCTGTTCTTATGTATCAGATATAAAGCTAAATTATCTATAAATGTGAAAGTGCTAGTTTGATGAAAATTAGTTTTGTATGCTTCAGAATCTACCATTTTTAAATTTTATTTTTTATAGCATATATAAACAAAAGGTTAATGGCTGGCTGTATATTTGGACTCCATAAATAGCAGTTCACCAAATACCTCCCACACTTATATTACCATATGAAAACTTGAACTCCAGCTTAGGGAAGTGGTGGTTACAAAGAATAAGTGATGATAACTTGGAAATATTTAGAAGCAAGAAGGATGATTATGAATATTTAGGGTAGTGTTTGGAACCACATTGTCTGTGAAGGGTTATAAACAAGCACATTTAATTGGAGTATCTAGGAAAACACAATTGTGGAATATGTTGGACCCTAGAATGGCCTCCCAGAGAGAGAAGCTCTTCCATTACAGCTTGTTAAGTTATGGTTTCTTAAGTAGGAAGACAAGTCACAGAAGAGTGACAATTTCTGCATATTTCAAAATTATGCATTTTTATTTGGAGCACAGCTCCAAATAAAAAAAACCCAACCTGTCTTTGCTCTTAGAGGAAAATAATGTCAAGATATGCTTTAAGTGGCTGTCTTTGCCTAGCAGGCATAAAAGAGGATTAACAGAATAATGACTTATACGACTCATCCTGAGAATACTAGAAGGAGGAGCATATATATTCCTTAAATTATACCATAACTATTAAAAGCTGTAACAGTTGTCTTTTATAAAACTTAGAATGTTTTATTAAAAACAAAAAGGACTACAGGGGGGAAATAAGGAAGACAGTAAGCAATCTGCACACATGGTAAGCTTATATGGTATAACCCATTTTCTCTGTTTCCTGATGGGTACAATACACAGTTCAGTTCTTACCCATAACCATCTTGTATCTCATCTGCTTCACAGTCAAAACAATTTTAGAAATGGCTGTTGCTTTTATGTGGTCTCAGGCTGTACTTCCTGTCCACCTACCTATCGTAGTAGACACATGCTAAATGTCTCAAGAGAAACTAAAATACCATCAGAGTCGATTCAGCAGGCAGTGGTTGATGTGCTGCACTAACACTTCTCTGAGAAGCCCTGAGAGTTTCTGGACAATGTTAAATTCAGTTTCTGGGTGGAAGATTGCAGTTTGCAGCCTTCTGGATGGAGTGATTTATTTTTTGAGTATAATCAACTGCAATATTCTCGCAGTGTGCAAGCAAATTGAAGCAGTAACTCTGGGAGGTGGGAATTTGCCAATTTGTC